ACGTCTAGCAATAAAAAAATAGAAACCGTCTACTCTACCCGTCTAGCGATAAATACTTGCATAATATAAATAAATATTTTATGTATAAACAAAGAAACCAATTTAGCGCAACATGCGGAAGGAACGATATATAAATATACGTTTGAAAAAAAGCTAGATGATAATTTAATTTTGAAATGAGACGATTTTTTATTTACTATTTTATATTTTATCGATACCTACCTAATCACTACCTGGACGCTATACTGGTAGGTGGTTTTTTTATGACAGGTCTAGATTTTAGACTACTTAAGATTACTTTAGGTAGGTCACTAGTTAGGGTTGCTGGAATTCCGGGGACAAGAGCAACGATGCACCATGACCGACTCAAAGCATGAAAGGCAAATATTAAATCTCTCCTCCGGTCTTGGTTGGGGCAAGAGGGAGTTTCAGACTCTCGCTGACTGAAAACCACTCCGCTCCTTTTCCTTCTTTGAGTCAGGTCGGGAGTCATGGTGCATCATGGCACTTATACCCGGAATCCCAGCAACCCTAAATAGTTACCTACATAGGGCGACCCCGAAATAGCGGATTTGTAGTGAATAATTCTTCACCGCTACTCTTACTCTCTACAAATTTTTTTGGTTCTTCCAGGTCTGGATGCGATGGGTAAATTCGGTAGAAAAATGTCGTAGCAGGCATCGATTTTTTGTAGGTACACATATGTAGGTTTAAACGTATCAAACATACAAGTACAAGTAGGTACATACCTATGGAAGACTTATATTTAAGCTGATATTGTAATAAACAAACGGTTCGTAGGCACAAGTGAATACATAAGTAAGTAGTTAATAGATGCACACGTCCATACTTCTGCAGTTCTAGCTTTATGTTCTACTATGTAGTTAGATAAAATTACTAGGTAGTTAGATAAAATGTAACCCGAGTTGAACTATCGATCAATGTAACTGATCATGTCATCAATATTTATTAATTAGCAGACAGTACCTACAAAAGTATAGACACATAGGTTTTCTCGAGATACATAGATTTTCAATCAATTCAATCTGACTATTTTTTTTCCATCTTTGAAGAATGCCTAAGTCAATATCAAGGGTTTACCATTCTGCGGTGGGTAAAAATATCTATTAGATTAGATCGTAAATAACAATACCTTCAGGGTAATTGTTTCAGAGCCTATATTCTTTATTAAAAGCCCCAGTATGAATACTTCGAAGAGAGGACCTTTTATTCAAAATTGCAAAAGTACGGTGAAGTAATACTTACAATAAGTACTTTAATTTAGGTATTATATATATCAAAGAAACAAAAACACTTACGTCCATGTCAATCGCCTTAAAATTTCAGAAAGGATGCAGCACAAACGGACGAAACCGATCGGGTTATACGAAAAGGCCCAATGGAGTCCTGAAGTGTCCGAAATCGGGGCTAGGGTCCCTCCCACAGTGAATACTCAGAGCGAATGATAGCAGGATGATAGGGAACGCCGGATGCTATCTATTTTATTAGGTGACGTCCCAAACACTTGAGGGATATGCACACTCGCCGAGAAAATGTGATTTGTTCAACGGCTTTTGTAAATGAGCCATTTTGTGATATGATTTTTAAAATTTAAGTATCTAGTTCTTTCTTCTCTTCTTCTTCGAAATACGATCGCTTGACAACTGTTTGTTTAGGTCCCTGATGAGATTTAACGTTCGTCGTTTTGCTCTTAAGCCTGTTTAGGTACCTATGTTAACTTCAGTCAAAAAATTCTTTCTTCTTCTCATATTCTGTTTATGTTCATAGAAAATTAGGTACTTCTCCTACATTTGACTAGACAGTGTACCTAATACCTACTACTAACTTCGATCTTACCACACTCTTTCGGTTCACCTTCACTGTGTTTAAATATTTTCTTATACACAGATCTTATACAAGTAGGTAGGTACTTATATGCAGATGGAAATTTAATAAATCTAATAGATTTAATTAAGTACATACATTTCTTGAATGGGTTCTCCATCTTAATATCCTAACCGTGATAATATCGATCTTTTCAATCAGCTTCAGAAAATTAAATACCTATATTTATTCATTCATTATTTTTTGTTTTATAATAATTTATGCACACAACACCCATGTAAAAAGGTATTTATTTGAAATTCGGACTTAAGGCCAAAGCCATCTTCTAATCTACACTAAAACAGGTAGGGATTTTAGCGCCGCCTATGGACAACTGCAACCTTAGATCAGTTAGAAGTGCGTTGCCGGCCTTTTGGGATCAGGAGTTCATTGATTTACAGATTGGGGAAGGGATGATTACAAATTTAAAATTTAGGAAACCCCCGACACAAATCTAATATTCCTTTAAAAAGTAATAATTAAAAAAAAACGTGGCGTTGGGGACCGATCCATACATTTTATTATCAACTACATATTTCTATTTTGTCGGGGGTCTAATTTATTTCTTTATTTTATACTTTTTATCATTTTCTCTTGATTAAGTCATCAACATTTCCTGTCAGTGCGCTTTAATTTGAGATCCCACTCGAATATATTTGCAGACCCCCCCCCCCCATAACTTCTAAACGGCTCAACCGATTTTCGTTAAATATGTCTAAGAACACTCGCACGTAAGTCACCTTTAATACAACAAAAAACTAAATTGAAATCGCTTCACCCGTTTAGGCTCCAGGATGTCACAGACAGACAGACACGTCAAACTCATAACACCTCTCTTTTTGCGTCGGGGATTAAAAAAGGGTAGGGCCTTATGTAATCTCTCTCATACAGAGACGCAATGCTGAGACCGTGGTATCACTCCGGTCGAGCCGACCATTCGTGCCGAAGCTGACTCTTCCACGCGTATAGGTAGATACATGTAGTAGCACGTAGGTATATATATATATATAGTATAATAAATATATAAATATATATATATTATTATTTTATTAATGATTGGTGTTTGTTTTCGACTGTACCTACCTAGGTACTTACTTATAGTTGGTAGGTAGGTACCTACTTGATATCCGTATCTAAGAAATTAATTATAAACATTGTGCATATTAACTATTACATATGCGGATATTTATAGTTTCGCATTATGTCATCAGAAACCTTAGTAGGTTAGTGGTGGTTCTTGTTCTTGTGACATCATATGATAAGGTGTAGATATATAAACACACGTGAGTTAGGAAAGAACGAAGAAGGCAAATAAGATTCCTCATAGAAGTCGCGTATTCCTTTGGCAGACGTTCCAGTACCTAGACTGGAACGTCTCACAAGAATCACCTAATAACAACAAGTCCAAATGTGACGCAATTGTTTAACACGGTCGATTTCCTACTAAGCTTTATCCAATCCGAGCTGTAGTTTTACTTCTTAATTGGATAGCCATTACATATAAACTTCTAAAAAGGATGCATCTCTAGTTAGTTACGATCTACAATAGATATACCACGAGAAAACATAGAGACATAAGAAAACTAAGTATGAACAGAAGAAATATTAATAGCTAGAACTACACTACTCTTTCAGCTTTCTCTTCGGTGTCATAAGCCCTTGCCTGTAACTGCATATTTATAGGTTCAACTCTTAAAATTACTAACCCAATCGAAATCAAAGCATTGTGACCCAATGGGTCAGAATAAGCACCCAAAGGTAGGTATTAGGTAGGTTCTGCTTACCCATGTCTTGCGTAAGCAGAAATTATTTTTGGTACAAGAATTCAACTAAGTTTTATTTATTGTGAATAACAATGAAACAAGAAATGAATGAGTTGATGAATATAATCAGTAGTCGTAGTAGACAGAAACAGAAATATCTGTAATACTTAGTTTCATAGCCGGAGTTGCGTGTGCAAGCGAAGGTACGAGGTGTATTCAGTGTGAATCTGACACTTTCTCGCACCACCCGGGGCGGGAGAAGACATTATATGATTTTCCCCACTCAAAATCTATCTGTACTAGGTATACGTACTACTATACTAATATTATAAAGATGTAAAATTTGTAAGTTTGTATGTGAAACATCACGCTACAATCAAATGGAGCCGAGCAGCGAGTGAAACCGCGCAGATTTGATCTATATTAAGAAATTATTATAAAGAGGTAAAATTTTTAATTTGTATGTAGGGGTAATCTTAAGAACTGCTCTGCTTGGTCGGATTTCCAAAATTCTTTCACTGATATTGATTATATGATTTCAGCTTCAATGTTCCCGAGGGCTTCAAACCATCACGCTACGATCTATATAAGAGTCGAGCAGCAAGTGAGTACCGCGCGAGTGTAGCTAGTCATTAATAAAGTACTACTTACATAACTCTAAAAGATATAAAATACGATATGTAAGTTCTTAGCTGGCATGTTTATCTAGGAAAAATTTAATTTGTTTTTTTACGCATTCAATCAACCAATTGAGATAAATTGGTGTCGGCCTTGCACAGAATTTGGCCCCACGTGGCTAATGTACACAATTTTCTTATTGTGGCCCTATTATGTTATTGGGTGTTTTGCTGCGAGGAACAGATTTTGGTGTTGCAGGCATTTCATTTAGAGAAGTGTTTACACTTGTCGAATAACATCACAAAAAAATTTCATTTGTTTATATTTTTTTATTTTCAATTTCTCAATTCAATTTTTTGGCATCATAATTTAATTAAGGGCTGATTTTTCAATGGTTGGATAAAAGTTACCTGGGGAATAATTATGATGCTGTCGCGTCAGAATGTTTGTATAAGACAATGACAGCAACAATTTTATGTCACAGATAACATTTATCTGAGTATTGAAAAATCAGCACTAAGAATCGCGAGATTTTATAAATGTATTGCTCATTTATCATACTCTATACCAGAAGAGCAATACGTAAACAAGAAAAAGCTAAACAAACACTATACTTAATATTTATAAATTAAAGCCTTTTTTATGAATCCTTTATTTTAAATCAAAATAAAGGTTGGTAACATTCTCAAATTCTTACCTACATGAAAAATTTATTCACTTTAAGTGGTACAGTGACAAAAACAACAGGCACATTGGAAAATAATAAAACAACTTCAATATTATATAAACCAGACAATATATTTTACACAGGGTATCTCCATTTCACGGGAAGGTCTGCGTGGTAGTAATTGCATTCTAATTTGTTGACACAGTTCTTGCCGTAGCGACAGGGTTTTGGGTGATAGTAGTGACACGCAGGGTTCACACAATTTGGATAAAACTTGCACATGTTCGGGATGACCGCTGATATCGTCTTGTAATTCGCTGATGGCACTACGTGTGACGCTGTAAATAAAGATTTCAAGTTAGTTATGGTGGCTTTTATAACCATTATTTGTAAGTATGTAGTTTCAAACCAAAACCAGAGATCGACCCAGAAATATTGGATTAACAGCGAGTACGCGTCGCGGGTTTTCCAAAAACCTTTTCAATCCAAAATTATAGAAAATACCAACTCATTCTGTTTTAACACACAACCTAGTCTATGGCACAAGGGATGATTTAAGGATTCCAACGATATGCTTCATGTCTAATTCGGCCCAGGCGTGGAATGTGGAATAAAGAAAATTTGGATACATACATACATGAACCCTAAAAACATGACACTCCTTTTTTTGGGCAGTCGTGTAAAAACAAAGCCGCTTTTTTATGTAATAAATAGGTTGGCAATCGAGCAATCGAATTACCTGATAGTAAGCAATCAGCGCCGCCCATGGACACCCGCAACAGAAGAGTTACGAGTGCGTTGCCGACCTTTTAGGGATTAGGGTTTTGGAGATTTAGGGATTGGGGAGGAATCGAAAGAATTTCAGCATATGATGATTTTCCTCTCACAAAAAAACGAGAAATTCTTGCATATCATAATGTATATACTAGCAACCGGACCCGACTTCGCGCGGGCGCAATATTCCTTCTCCTGCTCTAGACCGAGGCCGCGGTGTCCTTATTACGCTCACTTCACAACCCCGGCAAGAATCGCTCGTTTAAAGTAAATAATTTAATATTGTTAAGGTACTTACCAAGAGCGGGCGAGACGGGCGTTGCGGGCGGAGGGAGTGGGTAGTTCCCGTGCGAGTAGACACAGTTCCGGCGCGTACAAGCGGCCGCAAATCTACAGCGAGGGTGGGCGAACGCGCATGCGCTACCGTACCCACACTGCGGGAACGACCGGCACCATACCAATTTGCGCTCTGCTGCACTCACTGAGGGAATTAAGTTTACTTAGAGCCTGTTTCACTATGTCTGAACAGCTACTGTGTAGTACATGAACTTTATTTATATGCATATTAAGTACCAAATTCGTTTATCTCGAACTTATACGGAGGTAAAGAATCTGGTTAGACTAATTAAGGGTCCAATTCAATGAAATTTTATTAGAAGCTACGTGCCAGATAAATTCGAATTAAGAATATAATTTTAATGGACTATGTCACTAACCTATTTTTTTTTTAAACATTGCCCTATACTAAATATTCTCCTGTGACGTTAGTGGGTATACAAACATAGAATTTCACATACACATCAGGCTTAGACCCAACACAACAATCTGTTGATAACACAAAGAGTTGCTCTATGTGGGAATTGAACCGCGCAGTTTGCCCAGCCACTGCGTCAACATAGGAGTAAAAACTTACAGGGTAATTACAGAAATGCTTCTTAAAGAAATCACATTGTAAAACACTGTTAAAAAAGGCTAACACTAATATTTCTATTTTTCAACACCAATCAAAAACAATACTCACAAGGCGGCACCGAATCGTATTTATGTGAATTAGTGACAGTTGCAACTGTCACGTGTTGATCACTGCTTGCACTCTCAGTTCTTTCTCTAACTCTTTCTGGCTTTTTCTCTTCTTTCTTCTTGTCAACATCAAACACAATAGGAGATGCCTTTCTCTTTTTTACAGGTACAGGATCAGGTTTTAATACTTCTGTACTCTTTCTCTTCTCAATTTTCTCCTCCTTCTTAATAATAACTTGAGTTTCACTTTCCACACTGGAGTTGCTTAGTCTTTTCTTCTGTGGTGTCTCTTTCTCTTCTTCTATTGGTTTAGGTTCCTTAATCTCTGGTGTTTTTGGAGTATCTGGTGATTCTAACTTCTTTTTAATTTCATCTTCTTCGCTTAGTAAACCTTCTGTGAGCAGTTTCTTGACTAGAAATGCGTTTGGATGGTAACCATCCATTGTGACTATGAATTGAGTGTTCTTGTCTTTGTCTACTGATGGATTGTGTATGTTGCTGAAAAGAGATAAAATATGTTGTGATTATTATTTTGATTACAAATTAAAAATGACGTCACAGTGTTTTCCTAAAAATTTTTTACTACCTCTCATGCTCCCGTGGATATCCTAAGAAACGAATCTAATAATATATACTGTTAGACAAGTCATTGACACAAGCCCTAAGTGAATACTCAAATGAAAGCGATAGGTAACAGTACTCTATGATACACGACCTCCCACTTTTTTGTTTAGGTTGGAGACTGTCGCTTTTACTTAATAGGAAGAAGCCCATAATCCACAGCGAACAGTCACAAGCTATTGTTACGATGATAATGATATATATGTCCTTTTTTAGACAAATCTTTTTTTTTAATAAATTATTTCAATCTATTGTGTCGTAGGTATGTTCACACAAATATACAAAGTCATTTACATAAATAAATCACATCTAGACCCGGAACAACTACTTGTAGATCCCCAAGGAATAAAATTAGTGTTTGTTGTAGTGAATCGGACCAGCGACACGCGACGAAGCACAGCGCGTTTAATGCTATGAATCCTTAAAGAAACACTTATGAAAAGTATAAGTTGAATTGTCTGTTAGTCTGTCATCAGTTAAGCTAGGTCTTAACTTACATAGTTTCTATGACGAGTGTGTCGTCCTTTCTGCTGGTAGTTCTACCCTCAGTCCTTTTTGAAGGCATGTACTCATTGTTGATAATCTTCTTCGTGATGGGTACCGGTACGTATTCTTCTCTATCTACATCACTCGCTACCCTGAAATGATCACTAAATTGATTAGATTTACAGTTGATTTTCAAATGTGCCTTTTGTGGCATATTTGAAGGTTTATATATTATATTACTACTTGGATGATTAGGATAAGTGTTTAAAAAAAAGTTATATTATTTTCGTGATAGCATGATTTCAAAGTGTAGAAAAGCAGTATGACAGTTGGTAGTACTGCAAAAAATAATTATTTGTTTGCAATACATACTTAAAAATTTGACTAACTAACAAATTGTACAGATATTTTTAGAATAGGCGGAAGGAAAATCATCAAAGGACTTCTCTAGCCTAGGGTATCGCGAGAGAGTGTCAGGCTCTTTTTGACTAACCCTTCCCCCTCTTATTCCTTCTCTTGCTCTGAGCCGACCCCCACTGTACCTTATTACGACGCTAGCGCTTATAGAGGCGCGAAGTTCCAAGTTTTTAATAAAATTTACTTACTTTGAGCTCTTTTCATCTTCACTGTCGTTTTCGCCGAGACTAATGCTGTCGCCTCGGTCTGTTTCCATCTGTGGTGTATTTGCGGGTACTTGTATGACTATCTTCTGAGCTTCCACACACCGCCGCATCGGCAGCACAAGAGCGCGTTTAACCTGTGGCTCTGTTTCAACTTTAGGTGGTGCCTGAAAGAAATATATTTTTGATGTTTTATATTACTGTGTATAATATTAATTGTATGCTTGTGGCTTTATGACTTAAAGTCTTATAAACTTTCTGCAATCGAAATTCAACAGATAATAATACAACGGAAGATGCTGATACCCAATCTTTCCATCCCCTAATCCCTCACAAAACCCTAATCCCTAAAAGGTCTGCAATGCACGCGTAACTCTTCCGTTGTTGTCGGTGTGCATGGGCGACGCTGATTACTTACCATCAGGTAATCCGTGTGCTAGTTTGCCATCCTATCACATTGAAAAAAACTACGGCATAAGTCACAAAATTGAATTTAATTAAACTCTTTTAAGTAGGTGCATATCCCTCAACAGTACAAGTACTGTAATTACAGCTAGATAATGGGATAAATGTAAATCAAGAACACTTACATTGAGCAAGCTTTTGTGAGCGTCAGCAACGGCACGGAGTAGCAAACTGTTGGCCGGCGTCGAGACTCGCGGGCGGGGCCTTACTCGCACCACACTGGCACAACTTGACCGACTAGGACGATTCTCCAGCACTGATACCCTGAGGACAAAACATCATATATTATTACGAGGTCTTTTATTTAATAAATTGCAGGTAGTAAATGTCTGTATAAACTACTAGCTTTCGCCCGCGGCTGCGCATGCGTGGTATTATGATAAAAAGTAGCTTATGGACATACTTCTCATGCCTGTGCCAAATTTCATCCAGATCCACCCAGTCGTTTTGGCGTGATTGAGTAACAAACATCCAAATATCGTAACAATAAATATCGCATTTATAATATTACTAAGATGTAGGTGAAATGGAATCGTGCAATAAAATTTTGAAACAGATATCTTCAACTGATTTTGCTGAAGTATCCTATACACTTCTTATCATGACCATAAATGCTGAGCTGTATCAAATCTTGCAATTAAATTTTGAAAGAGATATGTTCAACCGATTGATCTAAAATATTGCATACACATTTGCTTGAGCTGTATGAATTAAAAAAGCTGTTTAAATCCATAAAAGTCCCGGGACTTACTCGACAAGAGCCTTTTATGAGAAAGTCTTAGCTATTTGTGTCACAGCTATAAGAACAACAAAATCTAAATCGATTACAAAAATGTCAATACTTACTTTGATGTTAACCTTTTCGGTTGTGGGTCAGATTTTTCAGTCACCTTCTCTTCAGTCACAGAACTCCTTTTGGACGGATCTGGATGTTCTCCGAGGCGACTCTTGGCTGATTTATTTTGTGGCCAGTTCGGTTCTCGTTCAGGTGTAAATCTACAAAAAGAATTGTTAAAACATTTAGTAAAAATAAAGAGTTCACAAAAGAAATAAAAAAGGTAGTTATAAAATAAATATGTCGAAGTTGTAAATACCAAAACTAAGTGAAAATTCAGCCTAGAGTTATAACCCAAAATGGCGGAAGCATAGGAAAAACCAACAAAAAAAAAAACACAATAAATAAGAAAAAAAAAACAACAAGTTAGATTATCTTACAACAGCAATTTACCTTTCGGGACTCTCTATCCTTTTCGTCTCCTTTTCTTTACTTTCTGCCTTCTTTGGTTCTTCTCGAATCCCTAACCTGTCCCTTACAGGCCTTTTTGGAAGTTTGAGTTCTATTTGTGGTAACGTCTCTATGGGGTCTTTTGGGCGTTCTTCGGAGGATTCTGTGGGTTTAGGGAGTGGTGGAGGGCTGGGAGACTTGGGTTGCTCCATTGGCGGGGTTACATTCACCGTGGCCGAAACCTGAGGTGCCTGTTGTGATATTTCCTGGAATAAATAAATTATATTGTAAAGAATGGACCGGAAGAGAGTTAAAAATGTAGGAAAAAGATCAAAGCAAAATTCTTGCTCCCATAGGATATAGTACATAATTTAACTGGCGAATTGTTCTAGTATGTGTTCATTATTTCTGGGAATTCTTAGTGCATTGTTTGTATTGTGAAATAAGAAAACACACTCTTAATGAATTCTACTAAGTTAACTACTTTGCATGCCTTTTGCAAATCAACATAAACTTGGGAGTTAAGACATGACCATGACACATCTACAGTAAATTTTTTTCTACAGTAAATTAATCTTTTAAATATACAAACCAACCTGAAAGACATCTTCAGCAAAATCATTCATCAGCTCTTCAGCTTCCGTCCTGATATTTAGAAAGTCTTCATCATCTGACATAGAATCTAATTGCTCCACCAATTTCTGCTTTAACCCCTGTATCTTAGCTTCAATTTGATTTATTTCTTTAATTTGATCTTCTTTTGGGGCACTGAGGGATGATACACTAGTCCTTCTAGATTCTTCTTCTGTTTCTAATTGTTCTGGTTGAGAAGATATTGTTGCAGGGTCAATTATAGGAAGTATTGGCCTTTTAAGTTCCACTGTGATGGGCTTTTTCTCTGGCTTTGGTTCTTCTTGAGTTACTTCAAGAGTAATTCCATGGTTCTTAAGTATTTGGCCAGCAAATACATCTGTGATTGAAGGCTCGGATTCCTTCTCCATATTCATAAGTAAAGGTGGTATGTTCGGACGAATCATATCGTGATGTTTACTCTTCTTCTTAGTCTTGTGTATTTTCTTGTCATCTTTCTTACGAAAAAGCTTCTCTTTATCTTTTTTCTTTGATTTTTTTACATCACTTTTCTTTACTTTATCTTTAGTTTTCTTTTCTTTACTCTTCCGTTCTTTTGAATCTGATCTCTCTTTGCTTTTTTCACGTTCAGCTGTTTCTGTAGAAATAATATAATTAAGTCACAAGGTATAAAGTTGGTCGAAATATTGTGTGATGAGCAAGTGATAAAAAGGTTTGATTACCAAATGGAGATTATATAAAATGCTTAATAAGAACCCGCAGTTAAAAATGACATTAAGTTAGAGTTAGTTCCAATGAAGTGTGCTTCATACTATTACAATAAACACATAATAGTATTTTTTATTTACTACTATAAAATATAATAGAAACATAAAGCAATATAACTTACTGAGGGGAGTGGCTACAGTGACTTTCTGTAGTTTCTTTAAAACTTGGTGTAGCCAGTTGACAAACAACTCTGTGTTATCACCCAGGAACAATTGAAGATCATCTTCCATCTGCGCTCGAGTGCGCTTGTTGGCTACCATTACCATCACATAGTCGGGCAATTCATCATCTGGGGAACAAAATAATCAATATATAACAAGGTTTGGAAGTGTGGGAGAGCCATGCTTCGGCACGAATGGGTCGGCTCGACCGGAGTGATACCACGGCCTCACAGAAAACCGACGTGAAATAACCAAAGAGTTGTGTTTCGCCGTGTGAGTGAGGTTACCGGAGGCCCAATCTTTCCCCTACCCCAATCCGTTCCCTTTCCCAAAATCTCCAAATTCCTAATCCCTAAAGGTGAACAACGCACTCGTAACTCCCCCGTCGTTGCGGGTGTCCATGGGCGACGCTGATTGCTTACCATCAGGTGATCCGTTTGCTCGTTTGCCGACCTATCACATAAAAAAAATAAGGTTTGGGTTTTATAGAACTGGTAGGGAATTATCTAATAATTATTCCACCAGGTTATTTAGCATCTTAGTATGTACTTAACCTTATCTTCGACAATTATAGCGCCAGTGTAGAGCATGTAGTCTGTCATTGTTATAATTAAGTTCAATCCATCAAACTCCAAGCGAAAACAAGCATTTGCGCTTTTGTTATCTTTCTATTGTGTCTATAAATACCACTGTTAATAACCTGTAAGCTTCTGATCTATACTGGATAACTTCTTGTCGATCATGGTTCCATGTTAGGCGAGCCAATGGGCGCCAGTAATCTTAATATTAAACCAATATTTTGATATCACGACAGTTAAAAACAATATTTAAGTTTTTAAAATTTCAATTTGAGTTGCTTCCTAATGTGTTTAAGAAAATTATATAATGCCTTAGTTTATTATGTAAGTAGACTCTTTATGTTACTAGTGACTAAACCATAAAAAAAATGGTTAAGCGAGTAACTAGAAAAACATAACTGTAAAGTGCTTTAACAAAATTAGCAGACACATTCATTTCTGTTACAAATGTTCAACATAACCAATTTTTGTTGTTGCATGGTGTTTTTATTTCGCTCAACTATAAGCATCTATTACCAAAACTGGTCATTTAATATAATGTGGACCGTTAGCTAATGTTTTTCTTACTTGTAGTTTCTAAATTTAATACATTTTGAACTTTGAGGTTGAAAATTCAGTAGGTTTTTATTTACTAACTAGCTTTTGCCGTTTGTGTGGAATAATGACTTCCTGCAGATTTTTGGTATAAAACCATCCTATGTCCTTTCTTGAGTTCCAAACTATGTCTATATTAATTTCACAGAAATCGGTTCAGTAATTTAGGTGTGAAGAAAAGACAGACATACAAGCAGAGCTACTTTCGCATTTATAATATTAGTTTGGATTTGAATTTGTACTTCTGATCTTCATTTAGATAGGTAGTCTAACAGTTTGAAGCATCAAGATATTCAACGATAAAAAAACAAAAATACCATACTAAAAAAGCTAGGATACAATAATAAATGTTACTGATACAATCTATTACAATTTTAAAGGTTAGACATCTAAATACAGCTTTTTCTACAAATGTTTTGAAAAGTAAAAAAAGTTGCATGTGGTATTTTCATTGACAATGTAACTGGATTAGAAAAAAAAAAATAACACATGCGTCTTTGAACTAAATTGGGGCTAAGATTTCAAGATGAAGCCATATACACTGTTATTAGAAGGCATAAATTAAGTCTTACTCACCAACATAGCATCCTAATTCAGTCAGCTTGGCCTTGATGGCTGACTGAAAGAAAAATATGAATAATCAATACACACATCAACTATTATTTCCTTATTTCTATGTCGAAAATTGACACGGATATGGACCACTTTTAAAAACATCTTAAACATGGTATTTTTAATATATTTAGGCTGTAAAAGAAATAGGTTGTATTGAGATTTAAACAATATACACAGTGGAAGTAATTTTAAGCAAATAGTTAACATTTACCCGCATTTTCTGCCCAATTTCGCTGCCGACGACATCCATTTTTATTTGTATTTTACAATTACACTACACTAAATTCATCAAATGCACACCACTAGAACTGTTGGTTGTTTAAATATAAATGAGCTTCATTGTAGAAACATTAAATAACATTAACTAATCACAATATTAATTAAATAATTACTGCTATGTAGCATACACGCTTGAACAATAATTTTTCGTTTATGACAAATTGACATGACAACCCTTAATGTCACTTTTGTTAGTAAAATGTCTTTTCATTTTGACGTTGGTATCACATGCGTTCCTATTTACGCAGTTTCGTTTATTTACAGAATAAATGTACTCGTACACAATAATAGTATTTAATTTTGAAAAAAATAATTTTTAGTCTAAATATTGACAGTATGTAAAAGGAAAGATTTTTTTAAATTCAGTTGTGCAATACCATTATAATCAAAAATATTAACGTTATTTTTTTGTTAATAATATAATTTAATTGTTCACGGGATTTACATTTACATACAATACGCGTTGATATATTTTCTTTTATTCTGGTTAATAAGGAAGAAAAAAGACCACCCCTGTGGCTGATTATATATCAACTATAAATTTATCCTCGGATCATACATGTCTAGATGGAGCGTAACCTTACAACAACAACAAAGTTTTACACGGTGCACAGACCGCGGTATAATCACTGCTTATTAAGCAGGCAAGTACAAATAATAAAATTATCAACGATGATCACCCACGAATATTAGTTTCAAAAATTGTCGATGACGCTTTTATAACTTATACCTAAGTATTTTCATATACTTATTAGGTATAATGTACTCTGTGGTACAGAAGTAAGCAATGATACCAACTAAGACAACAACAATCAGAACCATAAAAACAACAACAACAAAAACAAAAACAAAAAAACTAGGTATACGTACAGTTACCTAGGTATAGTTTTAGGACTCCAGTCTAGAAGCGTTACTTTCCCACACTAGTGTTTAAGTTCCTTCTCCTGCGCCGGGCCGGGGCAGTGATAGATTATTGCGGTTGTACTGGCAACCCAGAATGACCCACATTTAATTTGTAAATTAAGGATACAATACGTAAGCACAATGCATGTATACCTCTCAGGTAAAATACTTTGTGCTTACTTATAAATTAAATTTATTGCAAGGGCGCAGAGCATGGCTCCACCGGGGATCCTGCAAAGTATTCTAACGGTGTAAAATCGGTGCACGTCAACGCAAATGCACATTTCATGAGTAGGTACAGGTTTATTGTAGTTTTTCTGTTTTCTTCTTCTTTCTATAGCTTTAACTCAATTCAGATGCAGCATAAAAAATTGGAAAAATAGACAAGTTATTGAGAAAAAGAATGATTGACTAGCCTGCAGGAGATGTTCAAACAACTCCGGGGTGTATAGGTACAAAGTTGAAAGTGCGAATGGCCGTACTACAGGAATTGCTTTGTCTAACAAAGCAATTCCTGTAGTTGTAAATTATTAATCATATTTGGCGCTGTTGCTATACGTGCAGAGTTTTCTGAACGTTAGTGATCACCACTAAATAAAGATTTTAGAATCATCTTAAAAACAAAACTTGGTGGTTCAATTTAACTAACAAACATCGTGTGATCTGTCAACGTCAAAATTTAAAAGACTGGTGTTGCCATGCTCTAATATAATGAATTCCCTAATGCGTTAGAATGATTAACGGCTGTCATCCAAAAAATTATAGCAACAGCCACTTATTAAACTACAAATAAAAGTTATTAGGTAATTGATACACTTTAAATATATTTATAAGCGTTATTTAAATTCACATGATTGGTTATTTATACCCATTAGTGAAGCAGTTCTTTAGATCTGCAACACCAGGACAGTGATATATATTGTGATATGTAGTCACATAACAAGACATTGAGTATTTCTAAGTTACAAATATAAGATGGCACCTCTATCTTTGCGCAATGAGGCACCGTGACCTCGGCCCAGAGCAGGAGAAGGAACAGGGGGGTTTTTAGTCAGTAAGAGTCTGACACTCCCTCCCGCCCGACCCTGGGCAGGAGAAGTAATTTGATGATTTTGCCCTCACAAAAATAAAACCTCTATCTTTGCGATCTTGGTGGATGAAGGGCAGTGTCCCCCCCTCTGCAAAATATTATAACTCTGAAAAAGTCATGTTGGTAACTTGGTACTAGTTTTCGAACTCTCACTCTTAAAGCTCGGGGACAGGCGCCTTCACCTCCCGAGTCATCAATACCTTTAGAAATCTAAGAATACCCACACATTGGAACCTGCTTTGGTAAGACTGCCATAACTTCAACTTAGTATCACTTATGTGCGCCCTTAATAACTGGGCTGTTAAAAGAAATTAAGTATCAATAACTATGTTTATTCTCAAATTAATGTCTATGTTAAGCAGTAGAAAAAGCGTAAGTATTTATAGGTAGGTACGTAAAATGATGAATAAAACAAATTTAATTTAAAATAATACACGTAATATATTTTTGCAACAACCTTTGACATTTTGAATTTCGAAATTTATACATGATAGGAAAGTTTTAACAAAAAAGAAAAAAACACAATAAATAACGAATCAACCAGTTATTTACAAATTACTTAATTACAATTTTAAAATATTTTCTTAAATAATATGGCATATTGGTGTATCTAGAAATAAAATACATTATTAAAATTTTTACTTAAATTCATACACAATACTGCTTAGTCTTAAAATGTTCATAGGTAGGTACCATTTATATTGTTTGAAATTACGACCAAAAAGTTCTTTCATGTAGGTAGTAATTTTTTTTTATTTTATGTAACGTGACATAATTATTGGACAACGTGATTAGGTTTTGCAAACGCATTGAGTCAAAAAAACGAAAGACGTTATCGGCAGTCGCTCGTTATAGTTTCGTTTTAGTATGTTCCTATTTTGTGTAAATATTAAAATAAACGTTATTGCGTATAGGTACATATGATAGTATCGAAAAGTTTTTTGATTTGAATACTGAAGAAAAGTTGCTCATGAATTTGGTAACCCGCCAATTTTTATAAAATGTTCGCTACGATTGCAACTGACGGTAATCGATGTAAATTGTTAATCTTTTCCAGATTTACATTTCGGCTTGACTCAAGGACGAATTAGAAAATAAAAAAGATAAGAAATTAAAAGTGAAAATATTTCGGCACTCAATCTGAGTATCAAAAAAACCAGCATAATATATTTTTTCTTATATTTTATTACTTAGATTTGGTCTTAGAATTAAATACGTAGTGTTTCATTTTATTTAAAATCTTTATATCTATATATTTGGCGTAATTGTACATGTACATGGAATGTAGCTCCCTAACAAAATACATATCTATTAAATATGATAAAAAAATGTCAAAATGCTTAAAATTACGGAATGTTGAATATAAAAGTAGAAATACAGAATGCCCCGTAGCTATGTTGTCTACAATTCTTTAAAACTTAATGCTGCCATAGGATTGTAAAATAAAGCTAATGTAGGTACCTTCATCAAACTATAAGCTTATTATTATTTTGAAGCCACTATGCAGTATTTCGACAGCACACAACCTATTTTTGTTCCACTATATTTCTATAAATAGATAAAATCGAGTTACAAAGAGTATTTTGGAAGACAGGAAACTTATTTTTTACATAGGTAGGTATATCTTATAAACTAAAAGTCACCTTATTTACAAATTCATAATATTATGTCGATTATTGCTAGGTACTTGTCGCTCATTAAAGGACGGATATTGTTTGAGATAATGATTTAAAAATAAAGTATAAAAATTAAATTAGAAGAGCATTTTCCCTTGGAACAACGCTGAAGGGTTTTTAGTGAAATTATTTGTAAAATGGTTATTATAATAGGACATAAAATCCATTTTAAGTAGTCAAAAAATGCATAATAAAATATTTGGTATATTATAAGTCTTACAATATCTTTGGTATGTCATCTAAATGAGCGACAAGTCGCTACACATTGGTTTGTCTATCACTTCGTAAATCGTCGATCTGAAATCGAGTGACTTTAGGCCCTAAACTTAACTGAGATCCCGTCAGAGGTCTGATAGCAGATCCAGTAGACTTCGCGCCAATACTTTGTTGCGACCCCATTATTTGGGGTCGAGTATCAGTTTTAGCGTGAATGCTTTGTAGTGATCCTATTTTGTGTCCAGAATGTCTGTTTCCTATTTTTGGCCCGAAGCTGACAGTTTCTGTGGCCGGTCCGATGCCTTGGGCGGGGCCAGCGCTGTGAGAGTCTGGGGACTTAGCGCTTATCTTCCGCCAGGGCCGGCAGGCGCTAGGTTGCCCCGAGGGTCGACTCTGGACTCCCCCAGTGACACTTGGCTGAGCGCCGTTTGTGTGTTGTTGTAGTTGTACCCGTGACGCTCGTTCCATTTCTCTAAAAAGAATAAAGGACTAGTTAATTGTTTTAAGAAGTCATTAGGTACAGGGATTACAAGGCGAGTGATGGTGATGGTTATAACGAATGATGACAAGGTTAGTAAACTTGATTAGAAGTGTGAATGTGTGTTTAGAGAAACGTCGTATAGACCGGTGAACCGTGCCCTCGTAAAATTTGGAAGTCGTGCACTTTGGATGTACCAAATGCTGTCAATGAGAATATGGATATGATGCAAAGCGCTGCATAGTAATAGTCCGATATTTTTTCTTTTCTCTTTATGAAGAATATTAAGTAAATAATCCATAACTATACTTCAGCACACATTATGAACATCATGTTAACACACAAATACATTTTAATTTAAACAAACTACATATAGTTTATGAACAGACATTGAAACACCACAACCGTAAAGCGACCATTGCCAGTAGCGCGTTGCATCGAATGATACCTTCACGGTCTGATATATGAGGCGAGAGCCGACGTGCGTTCCGACTTCCTGACGGCTTGGCATGCGACCGGCGAGGAGGGATACGCACCGCTGGTGAGGCCTGACAGTCTGGCCAGAGGGCAGCACAATGCCGCCGCATACGCAGCGCGATACTGAGCGTTCATTATCACGTAGATGATCGGGTTTACACATGCGCTCGCGTACAGGAGAAGGTAACCCGCGATGTGGAACACTGGAATTAGAAATAAGTTAAGAGTGAATAAGGGTGTATGTAGGAAAAATTAAGTTTAAAATGTTTGTCATTCTTCCATTAACACACACAACAACACACAAATTAACAGATTACTGTGTAATTTTTATGATTTAACTA